CAATCACACATCCCACCTAGGGCGCCAGCTGCTGGCAGCTCACCTCGAGCCACTCCTGGAAATGAGGTTCATCATCCCTGTTTCCACCATATATTAAATTTCTGATTTGCCATCACATCATTGGGTTTACATTTTCCTTACTCTGAAAGGTGTCTTGACCAGATTGGGCAAGGAGAAGAAACTAAACATGATCAGCTCCTCCCTTGGGTTTCATTTAATGCCGTGCCCTCTGAAATGTGAATCCTTTGGTGAATCCACCTGGAATGTGAAATTGGTGTCTCTTTTTCTTCCCTACTTTATTTCTATCTTTCCCATCTTTTTCTTTGAGCTGTTTATCTAATAAGAATCTGGGTTAGTTGGCTAAGACAAACACACCTTTTGCAATATTGCCATCAGGAGAAAGGAAGCTTTAAGAGCCTGGAGCATGATAATAAAATGTAAAAAGGATTTGATTGATTTCTATTGGATGATAATTATGACAAACAGAAAAACTAGCATAATTCTTAATGCAAGAGATTATATTAAAGGTTCTTGCTAACAGTACATTGAAAGGAGCACCATATGATGACCTAACCAGGGAATGTTAATGCTGTTGATCTTATAGAGAAGCAATGGTCTGGAAAACAGAGCTCTAAATTAGGAAAATGGAAAGACCCACAGAGCCAAAGATACGTTCTTCATTAAAGGAAGGATCAGGATCAGTTTCTGACACTACCTGTATGTACAACTCTGTCAGGCTATGTCTAAAATGCACAGTTTTTCCGGGATACTCTTGGTATCCCAGAAAAGCTCTGCCGCATCCAGGAACACGTCCACTTTTTCAGAACAGTTTCCGAAAAAGCGGGTGCGTTCTTTTGGTATCCCTGTGTCCCTCATGTTATGAGGAAAAAAGGATGTTCTGAAAGAGGAGGGGGTTTTTTTTGTTTTTTGTTTTAGTTTTGACTCCTTGTAGACGGGTCAGATATCAGGATCGCCTCTTCCGAAAAAAACCCAGCAGAAAAAGATACGCAATTTGCATATCTTTTTCTGACAACCCCCCTCTCCCCAGCAGTGTAGACATAGCCTCGGTGTGTCAAAGAACACCATGTTTAATGTAGAGAGAGAGCTCCTGTGGTATATGATGCCAGAATTAACTTACATGCTGAACCTGTTCCCCACTTTAACAAGTCTGTATATAAAGAGTAGCCTCAGTTATGGTCTTTTCTACCATCTTCCCCTTGAGGATGCATTAGAAAGGGATCTTAGGGAAATAGGCATGCTCCCTGGACCCACTGGCTTCCTCTATCCCCAAACCCCTCTCTCAGGTCCAATATTCCCATGTGTGATTCAAGATTCTGCTGGTAAATCACAGCCCCTCAAGTCCAAATAAAATGTACACTATCCCAAATGGTTAAAGTTTGTCAAAGTTACAAGCAAATGGGTATTATAATTAAGCAGTGTCAAATATAGGAACTGATCCATTCTCTGACGCTGTTGGATTATTAGTTAGATTATTAAATGTAAAGCTATAGTATTTGCAGAATAGACAAGTTAATGTTGTGGGTTACGGATGTAAGTGACTAGGTGACTATCCGGTAAGTATAAGGTTATCAGATAATTGATTAGTTCCTTGACTAATCACTCCTTCCCCCTTTGCTGCATCTAGCATCTTAAAAGCCAGTTCCCTCCAGCAGTGTCTCGGGGGGGCAGGGACAAGGGAGACAGGGATAGCAGGGACCAGGCATGAGCTGATTCTTGGCTTTGTGCCAAGTTTCCCCCCCGCCCTGCTACACTTCAGCCTTTTAAATATATTAAGATCCAGAAGCAGCTCCCTCACTTATTGACTAATTGACTAGTCAATGGAAATTCCATAATATTTTGCATTTACTGATTCTTCGTTGCATAAATTGGTTATTGAGTGCATAAAAATCCAAACCTCTCTGTACTCAGAATATTGGATTTTGTCAGGACAGCCCCCTTCCACTTGTTGTCTGCCCCAATTGCTGCCAGTCTGCAAACCCCTCCCCACAAAAAAAAAATCATGGTATACCATAAAATGCCTGTGGTATGTGGTTGTAGCTGTCTTTGATGTACTTCTATCCTGCCCAAATTCCCTCCTGCTGATCAGGATGCCTTTCCATCTCCCCAGTATGATTACCATCTTCCTGCTCCCTTTTGCTAGAATTTCCTCACTACCCACTAGTTGTGATTATCCACTAGATACTACTTATCATTTGGTATCTGATAGATCTGAAAAAAATGCTATCTAAATTCTCTAGTTTAAATTTGTGATACTAATGCAGATTTTTTGCATTTAATGGTCATACAGTTTAAGTATAACTGCTTTATGGATAGATATATAAAAGTGTGCCCTTGTGCATTGATATGAAAACTTTTTCTGAACTATTGTGACTTAAATCCAGATTTATGTCATGTTTACATCTATGCTATTACTCATCTTTTCCATGATAATATTTTTAAAAAAAATTGTATACAGATATGTATGTCTCTGTCATAATTTTTTAAAGTAATGTTCCATGGTTGGTTTCCTGGTGTACTAGTAAGTGTTGCATAAAAAGCCTCAGCCTGAGCTATTATTTGATTTTACACATGCATTTTCTGGAAATACACTAAACCAGTGGTCTCCAAACTTTTTACACCCAAGATCACTTTTTAAGTCTCAGAACAGGCGAAGATCTACCGCCCCGCCCCTTCCTTGAAGCCCCACCCTCTCTATTCTCCTCCTGTCCATCACTTGCTATCGCCAGCCCTTACTTACACACTCTGATAAACAGTTTATTTTTAAATTATGTGATACATAAAATTAAAATCACGTGTTTATAGTTATGAAATAAATGGTCTGTTTTTTATTCATGCTATTTAAATCTAAAATGAAGCATTTATAATTATACATTTTGTGGGGACAGAGTTCTGTGGCGGGGGGCAGGGAAGAGGGAACAGGGTGCTGGGAGGGCAGAGGACAGGTTCTGCAGCAGGGGACAGAGTGCCAGTGGGGACAGGTTTCTGCAGCTGGGGACAGGGTGCCAGTGGGGACAGGAATAGGGACAGAGTTCTGTGGCTGGGGACAGGGGAGTGGGGACGGGAGTGGGGATGGCGTTCTGTGGCTGGGGACAGGGGAGTGGGGACAGCGTTCTGTATCTGGGGGGTGGGGTGCCAGTGGAGGCAGAGAGTCCCCTGCATCTGCCTCCTCCCAAGATCCCCTCCCCTCCCGCGCAGGGAAGCCCCGTGTGCACG